TGGCTTGCTGTTTATGTCTCATTTTGGCTTGCTCGGGGCTGCTCTAACTCTTAGTTTGTCTTGGTGGATTCTTGTCCTGTCAATGCCCTCTATATTTTTCTCAGCCCTTCTTGTGCCCGCACTTGGACCGGCTTCTCTTCCTCTGCTTTTACAGGAATCTGGCCTTACTTCAAGCTTACTCTGGCTTCTGCTGTTATGCTTTGGTAACCTAAATAAGTACATATTTTATAACTAGCCCCCAGTTCACTATCTTCTAACTGATTTTATTTAATGTAGCTTGGAGATATGGTACAATCAAGGATTGGTGCTCATATCAGGCCTTCTATCTAATCCTACTATATCTTTGGACTCCATTTCCATATGGTATTTGTCAAGTACAAATGTTACTTGAGAGTAAAATTAATAAGTGGGTTTAAGGTTTAAACACCAATTTATGTGATTTCAGCATGAATTACTTGAACTGGGACATGCAATTTATGTTGGGTCTAGCAGCAGCAGCCAGGTAAGAATACCCAAACAAGTTCAAATGTTTTATAATTTCCCCTCCACTGAGAAACCAAACAAGTAACATGACTTGTGAGGAAGAAATAAAGTAAACGAATAATGAATACGCAGCATTCGAGTAAGCAACGAGCTCGGAGCAGCTCATCCAAAGGTGGCGAAATTCTCAGTGTTGGTAGTAAACGGAAGCAGCATCTTGATTAGCATTATCTTCAGCGCCATTGTTTTGATATTCCGTGTGGGATTGAGCAAAGCCTTCACCACCGATTCGCTGGTTATAAAAGCTGTTTCCAATTTGACTCCATTGCTTGCCATCTCTGTTTTCCTCAACGGCATTCAGCCAATTCTCTCAGGTTTGAATGCTTTGTCTTTCTTGTCTTTCTTATTTAAAGCCTATGATGTAATAAAACTATAACTAAGAGACGTTAACAGAATCTGTATTGTATTATATTGAATCCCGGAGCTTATCTTTCTCAGGCGTAGCCATTGGTAGTGGATGGCAAGCGGTGGTAGCATATGTCAACATAGCTAGTTACTATATCATTGGACTCCCTATTGGCTGCCTTCTTGGCTTCAAAACCAGTTTGGGAGTTGCAGTAAGTTGAACCTCTGTTTTCAGTTTCCATTTTTTCTGCTATGGAATTGCATGTTTGAAATTAATTTTGTTCAGGGTATTTGGTGGGGGATGATTATCGGAGTCCTGCTGCAAACGGCAACGCTTATTATACTAACTGCCAGGACAAATTGGAATGAAGAGGTAAATCCGTTACTACACTCTATTCCTTGATTCTCTTCTTATCATCAACATCACATATATATGAACTTCATTCTCCACCCTAGGTTCAAAAAGCCGCCAAGCGATTGAAAAGTTCTGCAAACCAGGAGAACCTGGATCCAGTGACCGGCATATAAAGCCTAGAACTGACAGTTCAAAGATTCTGCATAACAAGTAGTCACTATTTCACGTTGATCATTCATTTTCTTTTCTCTCTAGTCGAAGAGGTAGTCCTGTCTTGGCTTAGCCTCCTAGGTTTCTCTGTATACGAGTCAACTGGGATATTAAGAATCAAAGAGAACAATTGTATAACCTTTATTTCATCAATGAAATATTTTTGAAGATTGAGCCTCTAAATAGTCTTATCCACCTGATTCTTTTTCTGCGAAGTGATGTAAAAACATCAGGCACAGGTAGTCACACTAACTTACCAAGCCATGAATCCATAAAGCAACACCCTCTGGGGTCCATCGCCATTCAGCCATCAAGACAAATCAAGATATTCAAAGTTAACCAAGCAAAACTCCTGCTCATCAGATAATCATGCACATCCATAATCAGGAAGCACACATTTCTAGATAGACAAGATAGTTTCATTTCTATTTTTTTTTTTTTAGATAAAAGTGTGATATGTAATGATAAAAGGACAGTTTCATTTCTATTAAATGACTTTATGAAATAAATTTCTAATGCTGAGCATAAATACAAGTAAGATCAGAAACCAAAATTTTTTTCCCTCACAAGTTACCACATTTTTCTGCATGAAAAATTTCCTGGTTCTGTTCAATATTGCCAACAAAAACAGCTGAGTCTTCTTGTTTTGCATGGTTATAAGTGTCATCTTCTGTATCATCCACAGCATTGTCCTCATCCTCAAAATATTCCTCATCAAAAAACCCAGAACTTCCATTTATTTTGGCCTGACTTCTATGATGATCCAAATGTGCCACAAGTTGGTTAGCTTCCTCTTGCTCATCTGCAGTTTTTGCTAAAGATAAAAGAACATTCTTTGCCTTCTTGTCAGGTGGAATCCCAGAAGATTCCATTTCCTTATACCAAACAACAGCACTAGCAAAATCCCTATTTTTCCCAAATGCATCCATGATAGTAGTGAAGACTGTTTGATTTACCTTCAAACCACTAACCCGAATTTGATCATATATTTCCATCATCTTCTGAAGATTATTTAATTTGGCATAACCTTTTATCAATGTCCCGTAAGTGACAATGTTCGGTTTAAATCCATCTTGTTTCATTCTCTTTAAGAACTTTTCCGCACCTTCCATGTCAGATGCATTCACATAAGCTGATAACATGGTTGTATATGAACAGAGATCTGGAGTGCATCTGGAGAAAAAAAAAGACAGTCCTGAGGCAGTACACTTTCTGTTAACAGGTCATCTGTCTCAGACAAAATATATGCAACGTGATACAGCCATTTAGATTTTATTATCCTCCTAAAG